GTAACTTGATTATGGAAGTATATACTTTATAACAAAAGTGACAAATTTTTTAAAGCATATCGATTCCTAGCAATAGCTCAATTTTAACAGCGTAAGTCAAGAGAACCCCATATCCTGTAAGACCCGCCTTGTCGCGCAGTTGTTATATGAGTGAGGCAAGAGCAATGCTGAAGTGTATGACACGAATGTCGCACATCGGTACCGTCCGTCCCAAAAAGTGTTAAATAAAAATGGGAAAGTTCGATCGGTCTAGCGTCACAAGATTCATAGAAGTTCGAAAAAAAAAAGAATTAATTGCAACCTAGCGACTTCGTTCATCTTTTTATACTGAAAATTTGGGGCTCCCGAAGTATGCGAACCAAGATGGCGGACATCGGAATGTAACATGTGTACTAGGTTAGGGTTAGGCCATAATTTTAGGTATAATTACTACGGGAGGCTCTTGGCTAGTCTTCGAACTGATAATAGGACTAAAATGAGGAAAATTGAAAAAAAATTATCGCCCAACCCTAACCTGTTACGCATGTTACGTTCCAATGTCCGCCATCTTGGTTCGCATACTTCGGGAGCACCGAAAATTTTAATTCGAAAGATCCATAAGTAGATTTCGTGTCCGATAACAATTTAGACACCTCTATATTAAAACAATAAGATTCCTTTTTTATCCTAATCCAATAAAGCTTGTCTGCTTCAAAAAGTAAAACTTGATAACACTCTAGTAACTACCTTTGCGGCGTCTGCAAAATTTCTGGACATCATTTTGACGACGCCTATTTCTTCCGCCGACGCAGAGCGAACATTTAGCACGCTGAAGCGTATTAAAACGTATCTCAGAAACACAATGAAGCAAGATAGATTAAATTCCTTGGCTGTTTTATCCATTCACAGAGACGTTATTTCTGGGATGCATGACTTTAATCAGCGCGTTATTGAGCATTTTGCTTCCAAGAAACCGCGGCGTGTTGCATATATGTTCAAGCAGTAGAAGTCTAGCAGCATATATATCTATGAGTGAGCGACGCATGTCCTTATCTTTGCATTACCTTTCCTTTCTTCATAGTAACGTTTTAAACCTTATTTTAGGTTTTGTCTGCTTTCACGAAGTTTCTGTTAATATGTCATTGTATTTATCTGGGTAAATATTGCCTTTCCTTTTGAAAGAGGTTTCAAAATAAACTATGTCTATATTTATTAATACCTTGACTTGGACCGGTTTTAAAGACACTTTCTTATCGTGAAAAATTGTCGCTTTTGCCGATTGGTTGTTACCGATGGAATGGTTTTTATACTCATAAAATGATGGGAGAACTTACAGCGCTCATCCTGTCCCCGTAGATAGGGGTGACTTGGTCCCGCAGTAGCTTGTCCCGGTTGTCAAAATGACCACGCGCCGCCAATGCATTATACTACAGAAACTTGCACTATTTTTGCGGTACATGTCATGATATTAAAATATGCGTATCGCAAATTTTCAACACGGTGTACATTGCCAAAATAATATTAAAAAAATATACTACATGCATGGAATGAAGGATAACGGCGTATATCAAGTTTACAAGAACATCTAATAATCTGGAGTGTATAAAATAATATATTATCTATTTGACTTGAGCTCTCGCCGCAGGTCTACTAGCATACCGTTTTTCAATAATTTTATTTGTCTCCTTTTTTGCGTGAATATTTAACCTTAAATTAAGAAAACGTTTTAAAATTTTAAAAGCGATATTGTGGCAAAGTGGGAAATTATATTTCAAGCAACTTTATCTGTCTGAAAAGTAACCGGCGAACATATATTATGAAAGGCATTAATATTTGCGCGAAATATAGTTTATATTACTTGATTTAAACGTATGCATTAGGTTAATGACGTTTCACACTTGCGAAGGAAAGCGAATTAAGCGATATATATGTGTTTTTCATACGGAACGTTGCTGCGTTGCGACGTAATTGCTTAACGAAATAATTAGGGAGCGTTGTTGTTTAAATCAAGTTGGCGCAGTAAACATTTCAAGAATTGGAGAACATTGGATGAAATACCTTATACAATTTTACTGGTGCACGACAAATTATATCTAATGTCGGAAGCTATTCTTAACCAATGCAAATGTGTCGATGTCATATTAGGTTAAAACAAGCAAATCGAAGTTTTTGTTATTTAATTCGAAAGCTTTTCAAAACCATTTCACGCTTTTCAATTTTGCCGATTTTTGTATGATAATCGCGACATTTTATCTCCACCTCATAATTATAATTATTCTCCTATTCGCTGGACACAAAACGACGTTCGATATGCACCATTGCACTCAGTGTCTCCACTTGGTTTATCGTCACTTTGTTCAAGACAATGCATAAAACCAATGACCGTGCCTCCGTATGTTTTATAGTGTAAAAGATAATTAACTGTATCGTACGTTTAACCGTATTAGTATTTATTTACGGTTTAACATTGTAAAATATGAAAAATGGACCAAAGAAGCATACAATATGTAAACTGCAATAGACATTAGTGATTCGGATAAAATAAAAGTGGCATAAATAGAGTTGAAATTTCCATTTTTTCCGGGTTATCGTTCAGGAGGAGGAGGACGAAGGGTCGCGAAAGACTATCAAACAATCTAGTGGTCAATGACACCGCCTTTGTTGAATACAGCAGCAGACAGATGGCGTCAATTAATCTACTTCTATATACTTCTTCTGACGTTAATTCCTGACATTGATTGACGTCAGATAATATAGGTGGAAGTATATTAACATGAATGAATACAACACGATTCGAGAAAATAATTTGTTGTAAAAAGAGAGGTGTAACTAGTAATTTTTAATTTTTAACTTGTGGCCCACTTGGAAATGTCTCGATGGCCCAGCAGTGGGCCATGGCCCACTGGTTGAGAACCAAAGGTCTACGGATACCAATAAACAACAGTGACATATGCGGTACACTCTTTAGGCCCCGTGACGGACTTAAGTTGCCCGGGGTTCTATATAATACAATCAACGTTTGTATTGAGAGCCAATATCAATTATTTTTAAAATAAACGAGACAATGACCTTGTTTCAATGTAATTAACTGCTCAGCAACTTGTTTCAATACTTGATTAAATATGTTAAAGACATCTTGGCTGAGGGACATTTACTTGCAACACAAAACGGTGCTCCTGAAGTATGCACTCCAAGATGTCGCACAACCTGAACCCAAACCTGGTACTCAACCTGAGTTCAGGTTGTACGCCATCTTGGTGCGCATACTTCAGGAGGTCCCACAAAACTTTTCATTAATTGAATGAAAAAACGAAGGTACTGTAGTTTGCCGCTGATGTGAAACTCACACTTCGCAAAGTGGAGCTTCCAAATTTTACTTGATTGGGTTTAATTATAATATTTTGTGGCACTACCAATGACATCTCGGGTTTGGAAACCACAACAGTTTAACAAATGAACCTACCAATTTTAAATTTTCATATACACCTAAAGATTGTTGAGTCCGCTAGAAAGATTGTAGTATTATTTTTTTATTTCTATGGGATACTATGGGATTCATTTTTTATTCGGCCACGTTTTTACGCCGGTCTTTTCAGCAAACTCGGTGCTCAACTAAGGCCTTATCGTACAGATACCGATGCGCAATCCTTGCGTCGACGTATTTGAAAATCGACGTTTTAATGTTAATCTTTACTTTTAGATAAGTACATAGCTTGTATTAATATTCTGGTGACATATGCCACTTACCAGATAGCGGATTAGGACAATACTCCACCCGGAAAAATACTCATTTTCAATTGTCTAATATCTATTTTATTGGCTCTTGAGCTGCTCCCGAGCATTGTGCCGCGTTGCTGGTGGTGTCACTTTCCCTAGATAATTTTAATAGGACTAAGAAAAAAAAAGATGAATGGCTGACTTGGCACAAGATAATTTGCTTTTTCATATGACGTTTTTATACACCTTTCACTCCAAACAAGCATCAACTGCCAGATAAGAAAAGAAGCTATGTCTAGTTTGGGAGGGCGAGAATCTTTTGGGTTTGGAACTTCCTACACAATTTATTTCACCGTGAGTGAGATGCCGGTTATGTTAAATAGTCATACGAGTCAAGTGTGCGTAACGTCTGTCACAAAACTCTACGACATTGTTTCAAATCATTAACGATTTTTTTAATATCAAATGTGCACAATATTTTGTACAAGACGCAAAAATTGCAATGTCAATATCACAATTAGGCTTGATATTATTATCAAATTAACGCCATGAGATACAAGATAGTTTGTTCAAAGTTTCCAGTGAAGCCCGACCATGCTTTAATACAAACCATCATTAATACGAGTTTGCCCGAGGGCAAAAACTTTCATCACCGTGTATATCAAGTTGGATTCACAGGAACAACCTGTTCGTAGAAATACATAACTCTCGAATTGGTCGAATATAATTGGCAGGTGCTCTAATTTCAATTAAAGGTTCCATAGATTAGTAAGGAAATATTGGGAACAGCACTTTAGTGTATGGCAGATTTTCAAATTAGAAAGCCAAGGTATCATTATAATTCAAGCGGTACCTCGAAAAATATATATCCCACTGACCTGGAATATATATATCAAATTCACCCAAACTTTCAGGTTTCACTTATGATCAGATAGCTATTGCCTTGTGAAGAATGAAATAACAGCACGAATTTTAGAAGATTTTGTAGGCAGGTATGGTAAAGGTAAAATTTGTAAGGTTATCGAAACAAAATAGTTTAATATGACGAAACCAGGTCTAACTAGCAGAAACAATATTTTGGTTATAAATAAATACGAGAGCAACGAATTGCTTTATAGTTTTATAAAATAGGTCAAAACGAATAGGTTGAACTGTCACAGACAATGCCTCATTTCAGATAACTTTAGAATTAATGGAGTCCTAATGCGAGATAATTCTTGTATATTTGTTTTAATTTTTCTTAGTAGTAGAGTTAGGCCATAATTTTATTCCAATTTTCCTTATTTTAGTTCTATTACGAGTTCGGGGACTAGCCAAGTGACTCCCGTAGTATTTGTACCTGAAATTATGGCCTAATCCTAACCTGGTCCGCCATCTTGGTTGACATACTACAGGAGTACCCTATTAGACACATAGAAAATCACATGGTATTGATTGGGTACAACATTTATTTACTTTACAAAGCAGAATAATAGAAGGGAGTTACGTTGAAACAGTTAGATTAATTTTGCAAAAGAACTTAAATATTGCAATTGCTTAATGTTGACAGCTTACTAATTAACTAATGAAAAACTATCAAGGAAAAATCAACAATTTTTAAAAGACAATTTGTTACTTGGCGCAAGGTTCATGACTGAAAATAGAGACAGATTAAGCCGCAGGCGCGGTAGATGTATTCTATTTTTTGAAATATTTGCCATCTGCTTTATACTATTTTTAACCTACACTCACAAACCAACGGTAACAATACAAAATTCACAGTTCTGGATAGAGGATGGTCGAACTTTTATAGAGACACCAATATCAAACGCCAAAACAATTAAAGAAACATTACTTAGCTCTTCCTGGATTCACTTATTTCCTAGTGTGAGGCATATGGTCACACAAATAGATGAGAATGTGATTTCTCATATTACCAACGCAAAACAGACAACAATTACTTTAAAAGGAGGAAATAAATTTGTTGTTGGAAATAAACTAACAGCAAAGATAGTAGCAAAAGATCAACTTGGAAGGCAAAAAAATTACGGCGGAGACTTTTTCATAGTCACTTTGCGACGTCGAGGATATCAAAACGATGTAATTACGTGCGATGTTTTTGATGAAATGATGGGTATCTACCACGTAAGCTGCCTTCTTCCATGGCCCGGAATAGCTTACTTGAATGCGGTCCTCGTTCACCCGAGCGAAAGTATTTTTCAAATGATTAAAAAATATTCATCGGAACATGAGTGGGGAGTGTTAATGAACACAACAATGCGGAATTCAAAAGATATTGATGAATATACTCCTTGCTCTGTTGGATTTCCCGAGAAAAGGTATACTGCATATGTTGTTTAGCCTTTAATTAGCATATCTGATAGGCTCAAACCAACATTATCACACAGTTGCTTTTGCTTGCTTTTGTTTATTCGTGTAAAAAGTCTACAAGACCTAATCTCATTTTTTGTTGCACTTGTTATTAAACTGGAACTTGGTCCCATATATCTAGTCATACATTTACAGCTTCGTGGAAGTGATGAAAATCGTGTTTTTCTCTATGCTTAGGCTTACCATACGTCCCACTTTAGGCGGGACAGTCCCGCTTTTTAGCGTCTTGTCCCGCTTTTTAGCGTCTTGTCCCGCCGTCCCGACAAGTCAGCCAAAAGTCCCCTTTTTGCGTTCAGCCATCCAGCATAATACACGAACATGTTCTCGTTACCAAATTAGATCATTTGTATCGTTAGCGTCTATTCCTTTCTATTTTTCGAACTGAACCCAATATTTAGACAAAGAATATGCGCATGAACTTTCGATGACAATATGGTCAATGAAGACAGCCGGGTTGGCTTAAATGTCTATGTAGTAAAATCGGAAACTGTAAAGTTACAGAAGGCGTCCCACTTTGGAGTAAAAAAAAAATATGGTAACCCTAAGACAATGCTGTATGTGTCCATGCTGGCACACATTTCGTCTGTCTGCATTGAACGAGTCGGCGTCGCGTTTCCTATTTCGAAGTAAAGCCGCATGTACGTAATACTACACAATACACTGATAATTACAATATCTAAAGAGCTATATTCATTTTTTTGTTGTTAATATTATCTTCCTTTTAGTCCATCGGAATTATGTGATTACTCAAATCCCAGTCACGGAGAGAAATGGACCTGTATTAAACCGGAATCTGGAGAATGTTCTTCAATAACGTGGCAAGAAAAAAAGACATTGGAGCAAATACAATTTTTTGACAAAACTCACTTCAAACGAGGTTTAAATCTTTATGCTAAAATTACTGGATCCGGGACAAACATATCCATTGCTGAATCTTCAGAAAAATTCAAATATTTGGACGAAAATCTTTATGAAACTAATGAAAATCCGTTCAAATCGACAGGATGGTTCGATAACGGCCGTTGGATATCAACAGTGGTACCTGGTGAAGTATCCTACAGTGTGGAACGATTACAACAATGCACTACTAACAAGAATTTTTATTTTATCGGAGATTCTACTATTCGTCAATGGCATGAACATTTTGCAAAAACCCTCGGAATTAAGCAGTATGGTCCAGACAATAGTGTGGCATGGTCGCAACACAGGGACGGTAGTAGTGAGTCTATGAATACTTCTTTGCATTACCGATCGCATGGGTCACCTTTACATAATCCTGGCCCTGTCAGTTCACGACCTTATATCAGCGACTCGTTGGACTCTATCACAAACGCAGGAGAAGGGACTTATGTTTTTATAACACTCGGGTTGCATTTCGAACTTTATGATGCCGATATTTTTGGGGATCGAATACGAATCATTAAGAGTGCCGTTAAGTCGTTGTTATTACGTTCGCATGGGGTGAAAATTTTTATCAAAGGACACAACCATCACGGTTATTCCAAGTTGTGTCCATCTGCTTGGTTGTCTTACAGATATGACGTAATGCTACGGCATGAGTTTAAAGATATAGCAGACGTGACTTACTTATCTTTATGGGATTTGTCAATTGCAGCTGACAACCGTGTTCTTCATCCAGAAAGTAATTTACTAAAAACTCAAATAGCTTTATTTTTATCGTATATATGCTGAATAATATAGAAAAATTGTTCTCTTCTCGCAACTCGCCATTTCTAGAATATTTGTTAACACGCACGTGTGATAATATGTTTGTTATTTATTAATATATATTTTTTTGAAATCACTGAACGAACGACTTTTTCGCATCTTGTGTGAGTGACACCAGGGCTGTGGGATTCTAGTTTAGTCATATTAAAACGGTATTCACTCACAAATCCTTGTTGGTTGTCACAACTTTGACTGCTATTCCCAGATCCCAAAATTGTAACTTGATTATGGAAGTATATACTTTATAACAAAAGTGACAAATTTTTTAAAGCATATCGATTCCTAGCAATAGCTCAATTTTAACAGCGTAAGTCAAGAGAACCCCATATCCTGTAAGACCCGCCTTGTCGCGCAGTTGTTATATGAGTGAGGCAAGAGCAATGCTGAAGTGTATGACACGAATGTCGCACATCGGTACCGTCCGTCCCAAAAAGTGTTAAATAAAAATGGGAAAGTTCGATCGGTCTAGCGTCACAAGATTCATAGAAGTTCGAAAAAAAAAAGAATTAATTGCAACCTAGCGACTTCGTTCATCTTTTTATACTGAAAATTTGGGGCTCCCGAAGTATGCGAACCAAGATGGCGGACATCGGAATGTAACATGTGTACTAGGTTAGGGTTAGGCCATAATTTTAGGTATAATTACTACGGGAGGCTCTTGGCTAGTCTTCGAACTGATAATAGGACTAAAATGAGGAAAATTGAAAAAAAATTATCGCCCAACCCTAACCTGTTACGCATGTTACGTTCCAATGTCCGCCATCTTGGTTCGCATACTTCGGGAGCACCGAAAATTTTAATTCGAAAGATCCATAAGTAGATTTCGTGTCCGATAACAATTTAGACACCTCTATATTAAAACAATAAGATTCCTTTTTTATCCTAATCCAATAAAGCTTGTCTGCTTCAAAAAGTAAAACTTGATATCACATAAAATTTGACAGTTTATTGCAAAACTATACGACAAAATGCAAAATAATCCATCACATAATAAATGTTACGAAGCTTGAATACTCATTGCCGGACAGAGCAACATCAAAGAGTAAATAGCAAACGGAAAGGCGCATAAAGAACAATTAAATAGAATACTGCATAATCCAATTTTTTTTCTTATGTCATCAAACCTCAACCAATATTGGAATGTTCGTTTATTAAGTCTGGTAACGGTTCTTAATTGATAGAAATGGGGGACTCTCTGATGTATGTTGCATTCCAACCATAAAATTATATTACTTGATAATAAGTTATTAAAATGCTGACACATGCTCACAGTAGTGCTGAATCATTATCATATTCAACATGATTAAAAAAAAAAGCTACATAGAATTTTTATTAGGAAAATTTGGACTCCATTGTTGAGATTGATAACTGGAATATAAGTTTCTATTAAAAGCATTGGTAGCGGGATAATGATTCACCATATTTTCTACGTATGGAAAGCCTTGAGTTGGTGCAGAACCATAAAACATTGGTGTCGGGGGAGTATTGGTACACTTTCGATTCTTTTTCCATTTTGCTCGACGATTTTGGAACCAGACCTGAAACACAATTTGCATTTAATATGTTTAATAACAATAAGAAAAATTGTTTGATATAACATAATAAAGTTAATCAATAATTTTCATACTCGTTAAAAAGGCGCTTACCAAAAACTTTATATAAATAATATAGCTTTTTGAAGCCCTTGAGTATATGTATAACGAAGCGTTAAGCGTTAAAACTGCTTTGAAAAAAGGTCAATCTTTTCAAGCTTTTGCTGATTATTCAATCACGGTAAAACTTGACACTAACTTTCCACAATAATCATTTACTGAGATTTTGTTGTGCATCTCCTAATATTACTTATCGATTTATATCGGTAAGTATGTTGATAGGTATTTGTCTGTCTGTTTGTTTGTCTGTCTGTCTGTTAGATGCACGCGATATCTCACGAAATCGAGATTGAATCTGCTCCAGATTTTGCATGTGTATTCATCATATGTCGTACCAGAAGCCTATTGATTTTGGACAAATTATGTCGTATACTTAGCGAGTTATTAATTAATTAGTGATGGGACACAAGGTGTCACTATGGAGTAAGAGTGCTGTTTTGGGATCCCCTAACTTTCGATCGATAAGTCTTCGGTCTCTGACCGATATTCTCGTTTCAAATATTACCGATGTTTTTATCGTAAGGTCAAATAATCAGAACACGGTGTCATTTTGAGCCAGGTAGCGTTTCTTGGAATAATCTCCAATTTTATTGTACTGACAGTTTATTGAAATTATTCTAATTTTCACGGATGATATTTAGTAAATAACCAATTTCGTTTTTAATAGAACTGTCAACGCAAAACAGATTTTATATATACACTAGTATAACTTTACAAAAAAAAATTCTCATTTTTGATAAACCTATTAAACAAAATATTTTGTTCAACCATGTAAAATTAAGACTGTTCATACTATTCATTAGTGATACAAGTTAATTACCCACACAATCATTTTTTAACAAGATTAGTCATCAGACAAAATGCGGGATTCCAACCATCCGTCATTTTATTATGTAGTTCCCATAGATAATCCATGAAATGTCGATACTCTCATTCATATTAAAATATTATATCAAAATTATATTTAGATTTTGTTTTGAGTGTATTAGATTTATTTGATTTTACCCTCGTCAATGGGACAAAAGTGTATCGACTTCAGTGTAGCGACATATGGTTAAAATAAAACACTGGTGGCGACGTATGTTGCAAAAATATAATGGAAATTAAGTGATACGCGTGAAGTCTGTAGTGCGACAATGCGCCATTATCTAGTCATAAAAATAATTGAGGGAGGCATGAAATTTTAATTTGCTGAAATGTGTTTTCAGTTATCCCGACTGCCGGTCGATATAAAGGCTTAAAGCATTGATAGGCCGCCTTGGCAAATCGAACCTAAACACGCGCTAAAATCCATTCCCGACTTTCCCAGTCGGACAGTTTTGGTAAATAACAATGAAATCCAACCTTTTAAGAGGTGATAATTTTTGCGAATTTTCTAGCAAAATATTTCGATCACACGACAGTGTCGTGTATTCTTAATATATTTTATCGAAAATCTGGCGAAAATTTCATTTATCGCTATAACTATTGATAGGTTAATGCTATGGGACATCATATCCACGACTGCATTCGCTAAAAGCGCACTATTACGTCAAAATCGTCGACATTTTTGAATAAAATTGTTATTTAAATAATTTCATCATTGAAAAATTTGTGATAAAATAATGTGAGGCAACAAAGTGTTGGTGGTTTTTGTATTCGACCGTGACAATTTTATTAGTCATATTATACGTACACGTATTATTTTTCACGTGTTTGTTACCTGTATTATCGAGTTGAAACTTGAAGTGCAAGCCTATATCACAAAATCTAATATTAAATTTATATATGTACGGCACGCAGGTGAAAAGACAATAAAAATTTGACTAATAAAAATGTCACTGGCGTTTATGTTGTGAATATCATATCGGAAACCATTTTCATACCGGTATTGGGAAATAAATATATTTTTTATGCATGTAATCATTGTATTTGTCTGTGTTTACATCAATTTGTAGGATTTCGTATTTTTTTTTAATTAAACGCGCGAAACATTGATATCATAGTACAATTTACAAGATCAAATTTTGTAACGCAGAAGGGAATAAAAATAAATAATACATTTTGTATTGTTAGTTTCTAATCACATTGATACCCATAGGCCGAATTAATAGCACTGAACTTACTTGAACTCTTGACTCTGAAAGTCCAATTCGTAGTGCAAGCTCTTCTCTCATGAAAATATCTGGATAATGGGTCTTGCTGAAACTTCTTTCTAAATCGTTAAGCTGCGAGGGGGCGAATCTTGTTCTATGACGCTTTGTTTTTGCCTTTGAATCATTTTCTTGTAATTTCTTTTTACTATCTACGGAAGAATCTGCTTCCGCAGATGTCATCACATCGGATTTATCTTCAGTTTGCACTGAACTTTGGTTATTCGTTGACGATTCTTGTATTTTCTGAACCGAAACTTCTAATTTATTGAACTTTTTGTCATTCATATTTGGACTACGTTCAAGACTAGATGCAGCACCGTTTACATCGAGAGATGAAGTTTCATTCTTGGAACTTTTAGCTTGATTATTTTCTGATTGAGCAGGCGATATAATTTTTGTATCCGTAGTAGCTAAACAGAAAAATTCCGGAGGATTTGAAAATGGAAAAGCTGGTTTCGACTTGTTTGTGCTTGTTGAATCGCGGGGAAAATAATTGGGGAACCCTTTCCATGTTCCAACGCCAACTTCTGATTGAAATGCTTGTACTTGAGAAGCCACTAACGCTTGCGGATAGCTTCCTTGTAATAATTTATTTTCTTCGAAGTTGTTACAATCTCCTCTAAGATTTGATGCTGATGTATAATCAGAATTTTGGTACGAAAAACATTGCCGTGGAGTCATTCGCCAGTCTTGTTCGCCAAAATTTAAATCTGATTTACAAGTGTTAAAATTTTGAGGAAAGTTTTCTTCAACCGGATAACTATATCCTGATGGGTTTTGATACTCTCGATAGTTCAAATGTCCGACAGGAGTGGGTATTGGATTGGAGTACTCCGGGAGATGGGAAAGGCGCCTTGGTTCACTATTTTCTCCGACTTCGGTTGAGAATCGGCCACTGGAACTTGGTGAAATTGTTAATTGGGTTTCTATCTGCATCTCGCTCTTGTCCGGAGTCTGTTCTAATTCACAATCTATACGGGGTAGAGATAATCTTCCAGGACTTACGTATGTCATTATCAAAGTTATATCTGTATCATAAAAAAACAAATACATGATATTATCGGCCAACTGTTTACTTTTCTTTATGTCTCCTCTATTTTTCCAATAGTTTTGAAAATTAGGTAGTCGCATTACAATCTGGTGAGCGATCCAGGAAAAGTTTTATAAACTTTATGCAAAATGAAATTTGAAAAGTAAAATCGCTGTTTTTCCGTAGACTTTCTCGCCTCGTATATTATTATTTTTAGAACTTCTGTACCGTTGGCAAGAAGCACAAAACATTGAAAAAGAATCTAACAAAATTGCACTTTTACGTTTACTTTCTTGTCTCATACTACGTAAAAATCAGCAGGTATTGAATTCAATCTTACAAATCTAATATTGTCTCTTGCTGAAACTAATCAGTATGTATACATTTGAAAATAATTCTGAAAGCGAAATTACACCATTCATTTCGCTTAGCATATAAACGAATGGTTGCAAAAAATGTTGGCAATCGACACGTTCCTATCTCTATAATAGAAATCCTACACCAGCAATTGTCTGCACCTTACATCAACGAACAAATATTCGTAGGATCTTGTTCGAAAATGTCGTCACAATAAGCATTATGTGTTTTTTATATACATTTTTTCTTACATTTTTCTTTCTCTGCTTTACACCAAAGTTGCCAAACAAATCTAGGATAGCTGCTCGCGTTAACTCTCTTTTACACTTAGTATATATTTTTTTGTTTATTTGTTTGTATGTTAGTGGACATCGGACAGATGAAAGCATTAGTTAATAATTATGTCAATAATACGACATGCAATAATCAACAAGTAATGAACGACGTCGTATGAATAAATATTTTAAAATTTACACATATTTTGAAAAGAGTGGCCAACGATAAATTTACTCTGAGATTGTCGAATTATGTGTGGCCATGTTAGTCGCAGAGATATATTTTGTCATCGTTTATTAACCCATTAACGGTTGGTTAGTTGAGTTTTACGTTCGAGTGACCATTCGGTTCTTGTCGCATATGCCGTTCAAAAATCAAACGACGCCATATTTAGTCCACATTGCAGCAAGACACAAATCTTTATATCGCACTAAAAACTAATTATCTTCCATTATTGGATTTTCAATTAAGTCAGTTCACCTTGTGTGATTTTATTATAAGCCAATTACGCGTTTGCTGTATGTCATTGTTGGTTTGTGAATCGCAGACGATTACGCATAAATTTTCTAATTATGATTATTGCTTGTAAATATTTAGTGAGCACACTTAGTTGTGGTAAATGTAAGAATTAGGATTCGACTGGCTGGCAAACTTCATAACTCGGTGAAATATAATAACATTTTTAGTTGCCATGCAGAACACAAATTGTTATTATTCATCCAACGCTATAACTTACAAAATCAATTATTATGGTGAATTTGGAGCACAATTAAATATGGCTAAAACAATGAAACAATTTTAACCGCAACAAAGCAAACACCACATTTTTTCTGACTACATTAATCGCTTCGGTTGATATAAAAACCAAGAAAGATCACCGATGTCTAATATTTTTAATAGTAATTACATATATAATGTACCTAAAAACATGTAATTGTAAAGGTCGTAATCTCCTGGTTGTAGGACACGGCCACACCAACTGATTGATGTTCTTTATAGGTGTTTTTTGCATGGACTTGTCAACCTGATACAGAGAATAACAATCTCAGCTGAAACTCACTCGTTTTATACCAACTTATAACAACCTTTCTGCAAACTCTAGCTTCTTCAATATTCCTGCCTAATCTATACGTTAAGAGTCTTATATCGGGTGCATAGTTAACAAATCTTGTTCGGATAGAGGGGCTGGCTTATCCTCAGACAACTGAAATTCACAAATGAAATTAGAATAGCGTTTGATTGGCTTGCGACAAGTATCGAAATCGCATGATTATAAACTTCGCAGATTTTGGTTACTGGTTACGGTGCCATATTTGAGCTAAAATTTTAGCGCGTTTGTTCGTTCGTCTGGAGAGAAATGCATATTAAACAAATTGCTTAATTATCATAAAGAGGTGCGCGAGCGCAGCGGGCGTCGTTCAGACACTTGATATGCGGCACACGCCAACAAACGTTTTCGGGCGACCGCGCACAGCGTGATAATTCCGTATATCCAACTTCAAGGCGTGCGACCGACGACATTGACTGTGGCAGAGAACTGTAAGGTGAAACATGAGTTTGCGAGTTAGATAGAGAGGAGAAGTTGCGATATTCTAAGTACAAATTTGTATAAGGTGGTAAATTAATTTACTGCGCGCCGTTTGATTGCAAACAACGAGAAATATACCTACAAACGATAACAATGTTTTAGCAGTAAGCTGCCTTATTCCAATTTGAACGACTACCCACTAGCTAAACCGATCCATTTACACTCCCGGAAACCCACTATTGAGTATTTTGTGAAGAAAAAATTATTGTCAATATAATTTGACCCTGTTTTGTCTTTGCTTTTATACATATATACCTATAAAATGCTTAAAGCAAGGCATGGTAAGAGGGGGAAAAAAAATATATATATATATAAATATCCTATGCAGCGGTTAAGCGAGAAAATACTCTTTCGTTCCGAATTGTAAGAAACTCCGAGCGCAACGCTGCTCTGACCAAAAGTTGCAATTTGCGGTATAATTCGTCGATCGGCATCGCGAACAAAATGGCGATATGTGATCTGAAGTAAAGTTAAACGACTCCTCCTATCGGGATCTATAAGCATTTTTCGTTACACTGGGGAACAGTATACTGTATACCCAAATACATAAATTATACCTAATATAAGTCATTTTTAACAATATTAGCCTACTTCAATGTTAATAAAAAGGTTACGGAGTAAGAAGGTTACTTTACTCTGAATAATATTTAATGGAAAGTTTATTGCATATATGCGCGCAGGTACTGTATCAAAATGTATCAAAGACCTTCAAAATTTTGATTATCATAATATATTTGCATTGTAGTGATAATTACTATGTGGCTACCAATTCAAACTACACAGTGCTTCGTGGTGTGTTGCGGGGTAAGCATAGAAATATCGTTAAAGGGGCAGTGGTGAAAATCTTTGAAATACGACATCAAAATAAATATTAATAATTGCTTAAAAGGCTATGCTCTAAGAAAAGAGTTTTAGCGTTTCTAAAAATACGTTTTTTTAGAAACGTCACTTTTTAGTGGCGCGGACATTGAAGAGAAGTCGCACATTTTTTCAATTAATATATCTTTTTCCGAGGGTGCGTCGTCTTTTTGAGATAACATATACATTTTAGAAAAAGCATAGACCTTTGCAGAAGAGGCGTAGCATACTACAAAACATAGAAATTTTAGAAACGTTTTGTTTCAGAAGAGTAGGACTTTTTCAGAGGACATAAGACAGTGGTGCCCAACCATTTTTAACACGTTCCTCACTTAGCCCATTTTAGGCTCTTAATTCCTCCTCCACTACTCATAAAAACTCCATGTGCATATATATATGTTCAGTCGTAATCGGAACAACTGCTTGCGATAAATGTAACTTGCACTCTGGGCTTTGTACATTTTATACGTTATTAATGTATTCATATAAATGCATTACAATGATACGAAATAAGTAAAAATATTAGTAACACTATACGCAAATAAAAAGTACCCCCCCCCCCCCGAAAACATTCAAATTCCTCTCCTGGGAGGGATTAGTCCTTGACTGGAAACGTTGACCTAAGGTAGTGGAACCCAATTTTTCTTCAAGCTACCCAAATTTTATAAAAAATCAATTTCGCAAAATCTTCCAACAAATAGTTCATGCTAAAACGGCTTGTAGTGTTTCTATGACCGCAAAATGAAATTACTGATAACAAAAAAAAATATTTTTTCATAACGTTTATTTCAACATTATTATTTGTTTATCATCCGCGACTTTTTGAAATCCTGGCATAGATGCTTGCAAGTTTTTACGTTGTGATGCTTTTCACATATACAATTGAACAACACTTCTACACCAGATACAGAAAATACAATAACATTTACCAGAAAATGAAATCAACTTTTGGGTTTTTGTTCAAGAAACAAGCGACCCAAAAGAATTTTTAGGCGACCCAGTTTTGAGTCGCCGAGACCCATAGGTTGGGAAACACTGACCTAAGGCTTAGCCCAATAAAAAGGGACATTAAATAGTGGACTGGTCGGAACTATAAGCTAAATTTGTTTAGCTTCAACAGTTTAAATAAACTGTAATTTGTTTATATATTTTTATTTACATATATCTTTTCATGTGGCCCTACAGAATAAACCTCTGATTTTCAACCGTTTTAGTGTCATGGACCCTTCCTGCAAATTTCTTGCGAAGTTGTGGGCTCCCTCAATGAAGCAATTAACGTAGGTATGAACCAGTAGTGTAAACGAGAAAAGCGACATTGTTGGGGAGATTCGAGAATTGACTTCGGTCAGACAAAATAACACGAGACGAACTCGAATAACCGCCTCGAGAAATTTGGCTGGAGACTCGAAGATAACTTTAGGCCAGTTTTAAAAATGGAAATAATATCATGTTAAATACAATTTACCAAGTCGAGTAATGAACGTTGCATTGGAAAATCGAAAATTTACTAGTCTCTAACATGAAATAGGCCGTGTTGATGTTGTCAATAATAGGTCTCGTTTGATTTCAAAATGAACGTTGAATTCACTCGAGCTGGGAGTGTCAATGTGACTAATATTTATCTATTTCATCGTTGTTTATGAAATATACCGAGGCTCGGACCCGACTCGAATGCTTACAATTTGCTGAGACCAGGATGACTTGGTTGCCTATTTGTGGATGTGTAATTCATACCTTGTCTTTGAATTTATTTGCATAGATGCGATTGGAACTGTGAACCTTGCTGAATCTCTCTAAAATGTCCAATCTCATATTTAAAAACCTGTGGAAGGTCATTCTTAACCATGCAACGGTTTCACGTTACCTTGGTTAGTTAGGTGATGATTTATCGAAGAAATTTTTATTAATTTCAGACTCCATTTACAAACTTTAAGTTCGGCCCCCCGTGTAAGAATAATTCATTGAATGAATCGTCGAAAGTACAATAATAATTATGGAATCAATTATTAACTGCTACTTTGTATATTACGCCATGGTTCGCTATATGAATAAGTCCGCTATATGAATAAGTCGTTCTATCAGGTTTTCCCTTTCGCGGGATAAATATGCAAGTCCGATCCTACTTCTTAATACGCAATCTTCAGTAAAAGTGTGACAGGTTCCTCTATCACTAACCCAACCCATTTAACAGTGCATGGAGTGTGACTAGAAATTATATAGGCGAAGATGATGGAGAACACCCCAAACATGATATAAATATATTTCTTGAATCCTCAGTAATAATGATTTTCGACATTTATGTAGTCAATAATGAAATGAAACAACACGGATGATGATTAATGATAATATAACGTGATTGCCTTCAGTTTTTTTCAGACCACTCTGACCATCCACCAGGATAATGCTTGGACCTGCAATAACAAAGTTGCTTAAGTTAGAAACTTTTATGTGAAGTATAAAACAGACTAAACTACTGGATAATAGGATAGGATTTACATATTTATGACAGCTCGATCTAGCGAATCACGGCCTCTCGTCCGGTTACCAGTCCATTTCAGGGAAAGGATTGGTTAGCCAGTTATTTGTTTCAGATACATGGACTCAATATTATAGATAAGAACATCATTGTCTTTTTGCTAATACAAATTTTTATGCATCAAAGATAGAAAAATAAATAGTGTCAATGCTAAAACAAGATGAATGAAAATAATTGAAGTCCCTAGCTCCTCATCAACCTCCAGAGAATTCAATTACTGTAACTTATAGCAATCAGTAGTTTATTTTTCACCATACTGAAAATAGGCACAGACATGCAAATTACAGCTTATAGGGTTACAGCTTATATGGGTAGCAATAACAAATCATAATATAATACCTTTGTGAAGTATGCTTGACCAATGAAAATACCATTCTAGACTATATATTACATAAAGCTAATAATAAAATCTGCCTTACTTAGTATATCCAGCATTTTGCGCAAGTCTTAATGCGGTAGTGCTTCTTCCTCCAAGTTTACAATGAAATATGATATCAGATGCATCTTTAGGTGGTTTATCAATGCCATATGTATCTTTGAAATCTTTATCAGACAATTGCAATGCTTCCTCTGTACAAACATAATTATGCATGATCATTCTCACAATTAATTCAACCTAGCTTTGTACTTGCAGTAATATGATGACTAGTGCCACAAAAAGTGTACACCAAGACTTAGCTTGGACACTTGGACTTTCAAGGCTATCACCTCCCAAGGGTTTGATAAGTTGGGTAAGCAAAGCTGAACAGGAAACATTTTGTTTCTCCGAAATAAAAAAGTTACGTACTTAGATGGCAGTAGTAGTTTGTACAAAATAAAGCCTTGTTCACAATGCGAGGCATTACAAAATTATCAGTTTTCAAATTATTTAGTATAAATATAGGAAAAAATTAAATCTATGTGAAATTAGAGAATTACACTACGCCAATGAAATCTTCCAACGAATACCCCTCCGTGATGAGAACAGTTATTCATCTGTGTTGCGAAACTATGTTAACTCAGATTTTAGGCAGATAAAAAAATGATACAATTTCAGAACCGCATCAACTATGAGGTTAAATGAGATCTATAATTCTTTATGAAATTTCAACATTGATACCACTCAGAGAAAATTCGCTCATGGCATGCTTGCTATTCAAATATCTTAATAAGGCCTGGTATTGATATCTATGTTTGCATACTGTGTCAGAAACTTCCTTTTTAAACCTACCTAATATGAACCACCTAATCTATGGTGTATCATGCATAATGAACTGGACATGCAATATTGATTCAAAAAACTTCAGCAATAAACAAGTGGTTGCTTGCTTAAAGCCTTACATTGAGTGAAGATCTAAACATTCAAAGTAACTTTTACCAAACTCCTGAACAGGAATGTTCACATATCTCTTTGCTTTCATTCTGCCTTCAGCAACCTCATCCGGCCTTCTCACATCAATAACAAGAAATTTATCGTTTTCAACTCCATATTTTAACTCATCATAAGTGACACAGTAGTCAGGTCTGTTAGAAAACACGTTAATGTAAAAAATCAATTTGAAGTATTTTAACTTTATATTAGATAGTGTTAGATAAAATTGATTTCCTTTATTTAGTACATTACAAACAAATGCATTTTACAAAACGCTTTTGATATAGTATAAAATATGCATTAAGTTTTACTGGTTAGTCTTTTAATTAAATTTCATCTGAATTATTCTGATTTTGAGTAATTAGTATGAATGGCTGAGTAAATGAATACCTCTACCTGAAAATAAAAACATATTATAATTGAAATATATAATTGATTAATCATTATAAGAATCTTTGACAAGCCCATTTATCATGAATATTGCATTGATAATAATATTACCCCGAGTTTGCTTTCTCAGAGTTCATTACTGTTACAAATCTAAGGCACAAGAAATAAAAAGCAAGGGATCAAACACAAACCTCAGTTCTCGTTCATCATGAGCCAACTTTATATCAGTCGTATGTAATAATCGTACATATTGTGGTTGGTATTTCAAATATGAATTCTTATTAGCATTTGCTGTTCTTGAGTTTGTTGATAAGATGACTCTGTCAAATAAATTAACTAATAAGTGCCACTATTCAGCCATACTTACGCATTCCGAGACAAGGAGCAATTATAGATCATAGTGAAATTTTGTTTATATATTTCCATATGCAATGATGAAAATACTTTAATGATTGGTTCAATTTTTGCAATGCTGACATTACTGAATTTTATTCCACTGCTCAATTTAATGGTAAGTTTTCTACTTGTTAGGTAGAAAACAAGTAATTGAACATTTATTGCACTTTCAATGACTATATGCTTTAGAACTCAAGATGTTTCAGCATTAGCAAAGGTATATCTGTACTATATATTAGTAAATCCTATATTAATATTGTTGCAACATCACATAAATACATGTGAACATCACTAATGTGATCAATTCTAAATCTAAGGAAAATTTTAGACATGGAACCAACTGCCAATAATAACTTTCAATGACTATACGCTTTAGAACTTAAGAAGTTTCAGCAATAGCAAAGCTATATCTGTACCTTATATTAGTAAATCATATATTAATATTTTTGCAACATGACATAAATACATGTGTACATCACTAATATGATCAATTCTAAATGGAAGGAAAATTTCAGACATGGAACCAACTGCCAATAATAATACAGTAATACCGGTACGGTGTGTCACCGTGAAAGCGAGATTTAAAATTTGAAGATTTGAAAAAGTTTTACCTACCTACTACAACTTGGAGATGAACTCGTTAAGTAAGATCTGAGGTTTGGCCGAAACACCCTACGACAAAGCCTCACTGAAGACGACATTTGCATCATAATGTGTATTTGTATTCAGCTCCAGGATCATAATAGAGAAAACCTGTACGCAGAACAAACTATAGTGACGTATTAATGGGCATTCAAGCATGATTATATAATATGATTGACGTGCTTACTGACTGGAACAGATTGATTATTTCATCATAATCTCTTTGGTCATCTGTTATTCAGGGAGTTACCCACAAAGCACGTGACTCTACAAACATGAACATATAGACTCTGCCGGGTGGACTCAGGTTCAGTTAACTTGGTGTGGAAGCATCTGCAACGGGCGCTCACACAATACACGACACTCCGCTATGGTTAGTGTATTTATCCTGCACAGCCGTGTCCGTATGAAGTGAAAAAAATCAGACAATAACAATGAATGCTCAAGATGTATACAAAGACGAGCTTCTGAAACATTTTTCGGATGCTGTGAAGCAGGTAGTCTAAATTGAGGAATTAGCGGACTAGCCTATCTCATGTCCTTATAACACATAAATTTATCCGTTTACTGAATTCTGAAATCATAACTAGGTTATGTTTGTTTTGTGAAATGTTTACTAATATTGCAATAACTGAATGAGGCATGTTAATTTGTATCATTGTCCATGGACAAGGCTTTAACATCTGAAACGAAGGTGAACACACACGACCGTTTCCTAAAATATAAACCAGTAGCTATATATTTCGAGCTATATGTCAGATATATGTATACTCATTCAGTTTTGCCAGAAAAAGTCATTTCTGCATTTGGCTGTTGTTGTTTGACTACATTAAAGCATTACTTACAGACTTAATTCTGTAACTCCATGTTTTTTTTTGAATTTGCATTTGACATATCTAGATGTCTGTATGTTTGCCTCTTCCAAATTAGCAGGTACCTTTGTTGAATGAGTGTGGTGGTAGTGGTTGTGACCCTGATGCATGTCATTGATTTATCACGGCAGAACGATTATATTATTAGATATTACAGATATTCTCTGGAGAATTTTAGTTATGCTTCAATCTCTGAATCTTGTGAAAGTCTGAGTTCTCATGTTGATTGTCTTAATATTAAAGACATGTCTGGACTGAAAACCTCCAATGACAACATATTAATTTGCTGTATTAGCTTTCAAGTATGGCATGATTGACTCATTTCGCTTTTTCATAATTTGGTTTCATAACAAATGATTGCTAATATACCGTACAAATCGATCAAAAGCATCAGTGAAATCTATTATTTTAAATGTGTGTTAGCATTGACTTATTTAAAATAAAATCTCTTTTTTCTCCATTATCCATTTAACTATATTATATTCCTTCACAGGTTCAAATGGAGCAAATGTCATTAGAGCAAGAGAATGGATTATATGGTATTTCTAATGACAGTCCTACAGCAAAGATTCTATGCACAAGTCTTGATATGATATTCTTACATGGGTATATAGGCTATACCTTTTTTTTCATATTTTTGTATTTTTTTTAAACTCAAGTTACAGATATGAACAGCATTCTTGATTTTACATCTAAAATTATGTACATTATCTTATATGTCATTAATTATAAAACAAATAAATTTGAAAGTTTGATTTATAAAGTTAGCTTAGTTGTTTCGAACATGTTATTAAATATTTGCATTTATATATGAAAACTTGCCTTTCAATCTTGCTTTATAATTTTCTCATTCTGACAATTACCGGTACTGTATTTTTATTTTAGTTTAAAGCACAAGGAATATGGATGTTGGGAAGCAGTTCGATATTTCTGTCGGAATGATATTCTTCGGCAAATTGAAAAACTTAGAAATGTTAAAACAAATCTGGGAAGAGGTAATTACCTCAATTTCTATTATTATCTATTAAGTTTGACTGCTATCACTTAAGTTCTGCTGTATAATACTCATCATAACCATGGGCTTGTCTTGTAATATCACCCGATAGCCATCTAAAAGCGTCTGCCTGAAAGTCAAGTGTTAGTTTTTCTCGGCTTGTGAATGTAACTAGATACACTAAACAAGCTTGATATCATCCTTTACAATATCTACTGTTCTTATTATTATCAGGAAGAGCATGGATATTTATTGCATTGAATGAAAAGGAATTTGAAGGTTTCTTGCAATCATTTCAGATGGATATGAATCATATTTATAAATATTATCATAAGTAAGTTTCTGTTGTTGTGTTTCCTGTTTGTATAAAAAATAATGTCCAATTGTCATCTTTATACTTCGTAAGAGGGTGGTAGTATTATGAATTCAGGTATACACTTATCTTTAAAAAAAACTTGAAAGCTTTTTGGGTATCTGTAGCTGGGACCTTGTTCACACAAACTATTTGAGGATATCATAATCATAAGATTTAAATTTGAAATGTTGTGTACCTAGTGTAAACATACACCCGACCCATCCCATCTGGTGTAAGGTACGATAGATTTTTTTATTCTTTGAGGATTGTTTGCAGTGCAAGCTCAAACAAATATGACATCTGTTCTCGTATGACATTAATTAGGTGACTTTTTTTCTTTTGTTAGTGACACTTTAGCATTATAACTAAGTTACTTCACACCAAACCTTTTGGTATGCCCTGAGTTCTTTTAGTTATATAAACACATATCTTAAATTATACAATTGACATATTTTCTTCGGACTTATCGTCACTTATACAGTGCATGTAGATAGCATGCATAACTTATACAATTAGATGTTGTTCTTACAAATAGTGTTAGCTGAAACCCCTCTAAAATTAAGGTTATGGTCATTGATAGGAGGTACCATTGTATAGCTTGGACTTTTCACCTGATATTTTTTACAAAATTAATACACATCTGATCAGAACAGTTCAAGTGAAAGGTTAATGACTTTTTTTTTAATGTGATTTGTTTGTAGTTTTTTTGGTGTGGGTGTTGGCTCAATAATAATGAGGAAATGATACAAAATAATGTCTCCAGGGTATAAATTACTGATGCTTATTCGTTGATAGTTGATGATTGGATTGATTGTTTATTTGTTTAGATTGACATAATTTGGACAAAATTATTCAGTCTGTCACAATTTTAGATTCGTTGAGGATATATAGATTGGTTTCGTTCTTTTGCCATATTTTTTTTTTGGAAAATGATGATAGCGTTAATAAGTCTATATTGATATATTTATGTATGTGTACCACTGCGGTTCTTAGACGGTTCTCTTTTTTGGGGTGGTTAGCAGACAATTGATATGTATGGTATGTATTTTCTCCACCATGTGAATTAATGTATATATATATGGATGTTTACTGCCAGCCAGAAGACAATTTAATATTAATTTTCTATTATTTATAAGCATGTGAGGAGTCTAGTGTAGTGGAAGGAATCATAAATTAGGTCATAAATATTTGCTGTGTTTAATGTTACTTTATTTATTAGGCCTATGGTTGTTATTTGCACCACTTGCACAAAAAAGGGACTCATTTGTGTCATATTATTAGAGATAGAAGTTTACAATCGCAGTATAGTATTGTTGTATTAAAACATTTAAAATGCGTCTGTTATTATGATTGTGGAATATTTCAAAAATTAGTGCCATACATCAATCCCCATCTAGAATTCTGTGAAAATATATAAATGAAGTTTATCGAAAATGAAGTTATTGAAATTCAACCCTTTGATTTGATTTCATTTATGGTTGTTAATTAATCGGTTGAAATTAATCAATTATTTTCCATGACATGCAAACATTGAGATTTTTCATGCTTGAATGTGAGTGAATACAATATGACTATATCACTTATAAAACATATTTACATCGAGGATTTTGGCAATGGCAAGCATATTATAGTTTATACAGTTTGATATACAATTGAAATGTTAGGTTTATTTTCTGAAGCGAAAATTAGATACAGCGAATTTCAAATGATACTGTAGATGAGATGATTTATTAAAACTACGGAAACTATGGCAAATGTTCTTACATTGATCAAAAGAAAAACTTTCTATGAATATCTAACTGCTAGTATGTAGTTTTGATGATTAATAAATGAATTTGTTTTTTCTTTCCAGGTCAGCCATGTTATGCAGCAGTCAGGTGAGGATGCTTTTTAATGTTGACTCATTACATGCTTTGTTACATATTTTTATCATGATATTATCGTGTCACAGGTATTCATCATGCAAACATTGATATCAGGATTGGACCATGTGACTTTCAAGCTAAATCCAGTAAGTTGATAAGTATTTGAGATATAGATTTGGACTTGTGTACGTTACTCTATATTTTTTCTTATTAGGTCTATATTAATATTCATAAGTTCTGCTTTTGTGGTATTCATTGAAGTATGAACCGGTATGTAAATGTTAAATTTACTCATGTTAGATTGTGTTGAGTGAGAGATATATATCTATTAAATTTAGGGTTACTATAGAAATATATGAATGAATGCTCAATTATGTTATTTTGTATGTTTTCAATATGTTGTAATCAAAGTGTAATATACTTTTATGAAATTTTTTTTTCATATCTATCCAATTAATTTTCAGATTTATTGATTAATTCACCTATTTAATTTACTTGAGCGATCTGCTCTTCATGTCTATTTGCTTGCTCTTACAATGCATAATATGGTATATTATTAAGTTAAACTATGTTTCTGTAAATTCGGATTACCAAATACCAAGCTAGGTTTAACAAAGTGTTCTATTTACATTCAAATCTTACAGATTTACTGTAGTTTCTATGAATAAATTTGCCATATACAGAAACAAATGACTTCCTGTTGGTTCTAGTAAATTACGTTGTACATGAATGCAGTACAACAGTTGGTTGCTTGATGAGCTAGAGTTGAGGATTATATGACAGGGTGCATATACTCTGAAATTTAACAGGAATAATTGAATAACAAATGGTTTTATTAGGTTAGCAAATATGAACTAGCATAATAGTGCTGGAAAATGAAAGACAGATTGATGATATTTATTCGAATCTGGAGAGGTTGGAAATGGCTAAGATCTTGTATTTTGGAAGATTTATGTTTGTTGTTGAATGCCTAAAACCATTTCATGATGTTATTACCATAGATATTTTCATTTGTGAAATTGAAATGGGGCCCATTATAAAATATTAGATAGGATCAGGAAAATTACTAGAGCTTTAGAAATTCCGACCAGTTGCTTGTTCAGTTGGTTCAAATTATAATCAGAGGAAAATTCATTACCTTTTCATAACCTGCTGCTTAAAATGTCAAAACAATTTTATTTTAACAGTTTAAAATATTCCAATTACATGGTTCTGCTTATATCTTTTCACACTGAACAATTGAAATTGCAACGACATAGTGTTTTGTAAGATTCTGAATTGCTGTTCATAATCCATAAATGATTAACCAATATATAACTTTACAAGATGACATGAAACTGTCTTGCTTTAAAACAACAAATTTATCTTATCTTATTATTGTGTGATTGATCTTCAATTTGACTTTTCCTATTCATTGCCATGCTTAACCCAAGTATGAAAAATTTGAATTACTTACATTATACGTATTAGGATATATTATTACATTGTGTTCGATATTTGACATATCCTCATTTGTTACACAAACTCAGAAAATTTGCATTCAATTGAAATTCAAAGTTTGTCAATATTATAGCTATGAGTGTAAATGAAAGTTTTTTTTCAAAAGTCAAATCTTTGGTAGTTTCTGGGGTGTAAATTTCTGGAAGTACAAAATTTCCTTATATTCCAGGAAGATGAAGAATTTTTGTAATATCGTAATAAATAAATTTTTGTATCACAGTTATATTTAATTCAGGAAAATTTTTCATGTCAACAAAATATTTGCATTACTGCTACGCTCATTAATAATATCATGAGATGTATTTGGTTGTTGTATTCATCTTGAATACTTTCTTGTTTGCGTGGTGTTATTTTGTTTAAATTATATGTTGTTATGGTGTTCAATTATTTTGACACATAGTTGTGATATGTTGAGATTTGTTGTAAATAAATAAAACTCAAGTATATTACTCAAAACATTTATATTCACACTCACTGTACCATAATTGAGACTTCTCAGTAAATTCAACTTTGATCTTTTTCTTGCAACAGTAGGCTTAAACAATATGAAAAGTCAATTCTATTTCAGCAGATTGTTCATAAAAAACAGGAATGCTGTTTCTGAAATGGTTGTAATGATCGGTGGCTACATCATATTTTTTATGATAAAATATATCTTTATTTTATGTCTTGCTTCCGAATATTAGAGTAAATAGTCAATATTTAAATCAATTAATCAACTTTTAATACAGCTATATATTACACAATACATTACATCATTTTTTTATTACAGGACCTTTCTCACCTGGATTTCAAAATTGCTGGTCCGAAAGTCATTTCAAATTCAACTGTTCGCACTGTGAATCATCGACCAACAAATCAACCAGTTCGTGGTTCAAGTGTACATATCGATACAGGTGCTGTCACTGACATGGCTGCCAAGACCAGTCAAAAAGCAGTTGGATTTGTTAAAGGACTATTGTCTCATGAGAATTCATATGAAGCTAAATCAATAGGCAATAAAACAACACTCGTTGCTGTTAATTCCGCTCGATTTAAGGCAGCAAGGAAGGAATGTCCTGATTGTAAAACCAGCAGTGAACTAATATGTTTGTGTATAAAGGAAAATCATCAAATGCAAAATACTTCAGTGCCTAGTTCTAATGCCAAATTATTAGACTCTATTTTTAATAAAAGTGGTGATATATCCGAAGCCTCTATTTCTTCAGTGCCTTCTTGTTCCAACCAACGTGTCAATCCTTTTAATAAATTATCTACTGACAAAAATGAGGTGTCAATGGCAGAATCCAATTTACGAAGATTTGACCAACATATGCCAATTGTTGACACTCCTATTGAAGTTGTTAGGAAAAAGAAACAAAAGAAAAGAAATAAAAAGTTCTCTGATTCAGGAAGTGACATTTCCACCAAAAGTGAAGATATATTGGTTCATTCAATAAGAAGAATAAAAACGGATGTAATAAAAAGAAGGGGGAGCATGAATGATATCATCCTCAGTGATCCTCTCATTGGATTTGATCCTGGTGTAGAAGAATGTGAAAGTACTCCAAGTTTATATAGTGACCATCTTTCTGATATTGTCCAAGCTTCTGCATCTGAATTGGAAAATATTAATCCTAATCATGAAGGTGCGAGTCAAAGTCAAATAGGTGTTATGTCTAGCACTGAGGGTGATTATAACGCTATTTCTGAAATGTGCAATAACGATCAACTAACACAAACATTTGTATCTAACCAATCTGCATGTTATGTTTCTTCTCAGGGTAGCTTAAATACTACCGGTACTAATGATAGGGTAGAAATTACAACCGGATATAAAAAACCCATATCTGATAACAATTTGGAAAGTACTACATCCATGACTGAAAATTCAGCTGATACAGGTAATGGAAATATTGAGGATATTATGGAAGAATCTACAATGACATCAAATTTGGAAGAAAATTTGTCTGAAACTTTAAACAGTGAAAGTGAAAAAGATCTCCACAATAATATAACTGAGACCAATGTTCCAAAAGAAAAAGTAGTATCTAATTCTACAATAACAGACAATGAAAATTCTGCTGAAAATGTTGAAAATACAGATATGATGACTGACGTAGTAGTAACAACTTCTTCTGAAAATGAAAATCTGACAACCATCCACCCAGATGTGAGTGAAAACTTAAATTCAACTGATGATTCTTCTAGTGTTAATAATGACAATGTTTCATTGAGAAGTGATGAAGTGTCAAATCAAAAATCAGTACCTGAAAGCAATGCAGATTTCAAAAATAATAACTTTGAAAAGTTGTCTGCATCATTTGGGGGAGCAGAAACAAAAAATACTCATATTACTGGAAAGAAGAAGCGTACAATGAGAAGGTATCGATCTGAATCTGAAGATTTATTGAATGCTTTAACTAAGAAAGAAGTAGAAAGATTAAGAGCTGAAATTCAAAATAAATTAAAACCATCTCAAGACAGATTAGAAAAAGTTCGAAAGTCAATTGCAGAAAAAAAGTCATCTCGAGTAGGTGTTGGTAGTTTTCATCATGATTCTACTTTCATGTTAGACGAAGATCGAGATTCTGAGGCTTCCTCATCCTCTCGACCACTTTTTGATGACTTGAGTGATGATGCTCAGTCCACTCTCAGTTTTGACAATGACACACAGGCTGATGAGGATGTTAGTGCATGCACAGGTGACTCTTCAAGTTTATTTAGTGAGTCAGCATCTTCACTGCCCGCTACATGGCGAACTGTTGTAAATTCGGCAAGTAAAAAAATTCCCAATTCCAACATTATTACGGAAAGTGATTTGCCTCACAGAGCAGTAGCTGATATTGACAACACGTTGCGTTTGTATCTTATGTTGGAAATATTAATGGATGAAAATGAAGCATTCATCAAGGTGAGTATTTTTACAATACTTGGTAAATTATTTATTTGTTGCAAACAGTTGTAAGGATAAAGAGAGAACATGGTTTTGTTTAGTAGGTTTATTCAAAATTGGGGTACGTTATCAGGCATATTCGGGTAGAGTTATTGGAAAGTACGCTGAACGATATTGCATATAAGCATCCGTTCATCATAGAGTGTATTACTGCAAATACAAGAAGATTGTAGAACGAAACGGTAGTCCCATGATGTAAAAATAAATTTAAATGAAAAGATATTTGAATCCAAAGATGTGTAAATGGAAAATTTCATATCGTAGGTAGTGTAACTGTCATGCCTGTTCAAAGTCTGGACTCTAGTATGAAAATAGTCAACGTTTCGACTCTTGGGATTTTGTTTTTGAGGTTACCAGGGGTGCTTGGCCAGGGGAAATGGTGGTGGTGTGTTGAAATCCCAGCTAAACATAGTTTATAGTAGCCATCCTGTATTGTTTTAACTTATGAGGATTCGAATATTGACCCTACATCCTGACACTTGGGGAAATTTGTGTTTTCCAATATTTAGCTCCCTGTGCCTACTGTATCCTCTTTTTGTACTGCACAAAACTTATTCAGCTAAGATTTATTGAAGATTTAGAGCTGTGTAAGTATCTATTATACACTTGTACTTTGTTTGTAGATGTTTCACTTGAGCACTGGCCATGCAGAGGGTAACTGGACTCCATTGTATCTCCTGTTTACGGATTCATTTGTATATTTTCTTCGGAGTGGAGATGGGAGTTGTCCTTATCAACCTGAAGAAATTGTTTCTTATGAAGATCTTGATTATATTGCTGTAGGAAGTAATAGCCAGGTATATTGGTATATTTTGCACTTGGTTGCATTTGAAGCAATGGTTTTATTTATATATATTCTCTTAACTATTTAGCAAAAAAAATTCTGACGCTTGATTTATGGCTTAGTTTCCTTCTTTTTCGCATGGGTGATATATTTTGAATTGGAGAACTTTTTACAACTTTTGTTACATGAGCATTTGACGGATTATTTATTAACTTTGCCATTTTTTCGTAATTTTATTCTTATGTGGCAATGCCCAGTCTTCAACAAAAAATAAATAAATTTTCTAATGTGTAAACGACGTTGGCCATTTATGAAAAATTGTAAATAAAAAAGATTTTAAGACGGAATGACAAGATGACATAATGCTGATGATTAAATGTTACATCAAGTTTTGGTCAAGTTACGTAAAATTCATGAAGACTTTTCAAAAGTAGTATGATGTGGAATCGTGAAGATCAGGTTGTGAAATCCTTATGAGGTGATCTCAACTTGACTGTTGTATGCAAGTCATGAGTTAGTTGTTTAAATACCTTTGCAATATTAATACTTTCATACACAAAATAATTTCAATACACATACCTCCAGTTGAACATAGAAGCCAACGATCACGATACTTCTGGAGGTCCAAAAATTGTTCGTATAATGAAAATAGACATTAACCATAATGAGAACACAAATCACAGCCAGATCCTATAATGATTTCATTGGTGCAATATGATTTTATTAATATGTAACATTTATTACTTTGTTTTGTTAACAGACAATGCAGTTTGTTTTTTATAAAAACAAATCCAGACCTTCAAAATCAAGTAAAGTTGCCAGAGGAAAAGTAAGAACAAAACTAACTATTGATACTGCAGATAAGAAATTAACGGAATTGATAATATCAAATTTATCAAGAGCATTGGTTTCATTCACGAGGCAACAAAGTGTTATTAAAGTTGTGAGTATTGAAATTCATTTTGTTTTTATTATAATTATTAAAAAAATATTCTAGTGCAGAGTCTGGTCGATCTCTAATGATTTACTTCAACTAAAGAAAACATTGCATCTTAGACAATTAAAATTATACTACTCTTTACAACGAAATATGTGAGAGGCAGCATTTTCAGCTATTTTCGATATGATGACAAAATACAGGTTGAGACTTGCAGTAGAGTCCGACCTACGAGTTTGCTTGTCACAAATTGCAAATCGTGCAGTGAAAAGCAACCTCATCCATCACATTAATGTTGTCGTGTTGTAAATGAAACATTGTTATTCGTTGATTAGGCACAGAAATTGATACGGCATAGGATGGAGGTTCAGTAAAAATAAGATTCATAAGCAGAGGTCCACAGTTCAAAAAGTTTGGGAAACCCTGTTCTTAGGCAACTATGTGAAAGTTTTCATTCAATTATATTATTGTGGTACTGCTTGCACATTGACATTCTTGAGACCTTTCAACATCTTAAAACTTATAAATTTATTTCATATTGATGAATTTCTGATTCCGATATTTCAGTTCATGTCTTATTCCATCCAGGCTCTGAATTCCTTAATAGGCATATTGCATCCCAGCATAATTGACTGGTCAAGTGAATTTGTGGTAAAATCAAAGGTTGTCGTATCAAAACGAACATTTCAACCTCAAAAATATATACGTTCATTCTTTTGATTTGCATTTTGAACAAAATTATCGTTGCTTTTGGTACTTCAACTTTATAATAAATTGAAACAAACTTTTTGGGGAATGGTACTGTATATTTGTACTCAAATTCACTTAGTACCATCATTTGCCTTTTATTTTGAGCAAACATGTGAAGATGGTCCGATGTAGCCTACACTTGATTGTGTGTTGTCCTCGTGATATTGCTAGAATTATTTCTTTAAAAAATAAATAATCCTTTTTCTCATTAGTATATTCAGATTCCTCATTTTGCAGAATTCATTGATTGCTGCTTGCTCAACCCCTACTCACTGAATTTGATTTCAACTTTTTTGATTTAGTGTCCACCCATATTTCATGATGCAAAAGAACATCAAATATCTTTAAGAAAATATATGGTCGCTGAAGGTTTGACTGGTGATATTCAATTGTACCAACTTATCCACTGGGAAGATCCTAATTTTGTAACTGGTAAGTAGCGAGTGGCAGTGATATAATCATTATGGCAAATCTTAACCTCTCATCTGGTTCTCAAACAGTTTGGGTATTTCGATTCGTTTCAAGATTCCAATCCATTTAGGTCCAGACATATCAAACATTATCCATTTGCGTGCTGTTTTTCTATCTGTACTACCTGATTACTGTTTCCATCAGCATTGTAAATTTGTGGTAAGACAGTATATATATCTATTTTGCGCAGGGGCAAGCATGTCTAAAATATCTATGGAGGGAACTTTGAAATACAGAGCAGTTACATTCTGGGGATCAACGTGGAGATCTGCCTATTTTGTATTGAATGGAGGAATTCTTTATCAATATGAAAACAAGTAAAATGTTATTTTTAACTTTTGACAGCATAGAAGTGTTAACATAGATTTGCAGGTTAAACAACTGTGACATGCATTTTGTTTCTCCGTAAGAGAAACCCAGAGGCTCCATTAACTATCCGTTTACTTATCAAAATACTGATTAATTTTGTGACTGTCCAAAGAAGCAATAACGGCATTAATAAAATTTGACAACAGTAGCGCCGAAACAACAAGGCAATAATTCAAATATTTGTTTTTATAAATTTATTATGGGCTTCGTAAATAATCAACCTCTTCCTTAGGGTTTCGCGGAACCCCTGTTGACAATGAATGATCTAGGAGAATTTTGTTGTTGTAAATTGGGAATTTCTATATTACAGAGATAGTGAAAAGCCTTTTATTAGTTATGAGTTAACACGAAACAACTGTGTTGGATGCAAGAGACTGCGATCAACGTCTTTCAAAACCCCAAGCCTGCAGTTTGAAATTGTTTTCGCTGATGAAACCAAGATAGAATTGTGTGGATACTCAGACATTGAAGTTACAGAATGGTTGCAATGTTTATGCATGATCGTGTCTTTAGATCAGGTGAGGTGTTTTCATATGAATGTGGTATTTTCTAATGTGTGATTGCATGTTTTTCAGATTGAAATAGATTACATTAGGATAGGATTTACTCATTTATCCTGGGGGAGAGGAAAGCCACGGCCTCTCCTTCTTGGAATAAAACATGGCAAATTCAAAAAGACTGGGTAGTAGAACCATGAATATGAGTCAATGTCCTCAATTATCCCTGAAAATATGTATATGTGGAAAAATTGTTATGCCACTAGTGACATCTTGATGATTAGCCAGTTGTATTGAAGTAACTGAGAAATCATCCATAAGTTTATTATACAGTGTGAATCTTATACTTAATAATTACCTGATTCTTGTTTTCAAGAGTATTTTTTTATTCACAGTCATCATTGATTGACAAAGAAGGTCCTCCTGATGGTATTGTTATGAACATGTTGCACCATGATGCTCTCGTGCCATGTAGTATGATTATTGTTGATGAACAGTTATTACTTTGCCACGAAGATCAACATACTGGATTTTGTCGGACACTGTCAAAAACCTTTGCTCGTGACATCACACAAATTAACATTGATAAAAAAACATCACTTGTATGTGAAATTGTCATCAATATTTGTTCAGAACAACCTCAGACGTTAAATTGGGGAATATTTTTTTCTTGTGTTGAAGCGTTAGAGGACTTTTTATCCGTGATGAATTCATTCTCTAAAGCTCCAACATTGAATGATGCAGGCAGCAAATCATCAATGACACATTACCTTGAAGCTAGAACTTTGCTTGATAATCGATGGACGAGGACAGATAACTTATTAAAGGGAAGGGGTGGAAGTGTGGAAAATTATACTTTTATTTAATAATCTTGGATAAATAAAATTTGAGATTAAAATCTTAGTTCAGTATTGAAATTGCTTCGTTCCAGCTTATTAAAATTGGTGCCAATCCATGACATTGATTGCAACCTAAAATTGACTTTTTGCCCTTGAGCGGAAGATGTATAACAAGATTTATACTATCGTATTTCACATTCTGGATCATACTGATGGTTTACAGGCTGTAGTGTCACAAGCATCGCAAAGTAAGTCTTGTCAAAAACAAGGCAATATGAACTTTCACTATGATTGAAATATTCTGGAAAAAGATGTGAACCACTCCATGTTACCTAGCCCATAATTGGTGGAGAAAGACAACATCTCTCACTTGATGCAATTGGCAATAAGTAGTTGTACATATGTATAGTTCAATAAAGCTTGTTTTTATATTCTCTGGAGACGTGTCATATTTTATGCAACTATTTATCAATACATTATATTTTAGAGTTCAACTAATTGTTCAGTGTTGCTTGCTAATTTTCATGCCAATGGCTAAAGGGCGCAATATAATATAGGGAAGGCTATAGCAATAGATCGATATCTGTTCAGTTCCTCCTTCAAACTGACATTTTCCAATAAAAAAGAAGGCAAGGCTATATAGCAATCAATATCTGTTCAGTCTCTTCAAACTGACATTTTCCAATAAAAAAGTAGCAAGGGGGACTTTTAACGAGCCAATATGGAGGGTGCATTAAGAAGAGTGTTTTTTTGCCCATCATGACTATTAGGTGTGATTAAAATTCATACGCATCAGCCCAGTGATTAATGAAAATATGTTCCCAAAAGTTATGAGCAATGCCCCTCTTTCGAAGTCTCATAGGCCTATTTATTAACAACCCTGGCACCGCTCTTAAAACCACAAGCATGATAAAGAAATCACTCAAGTTTGTTTACATTCAGTTTATTCTCATTGTACCTGCATACACCACATATAAAGGATTTTAACCAGAGATTTATATTACAGATTTTCTTTTTTATCTTCATAAAATTCAGCATTTTCCAAATTCTGTCATTTTACACTGATGCCAACTTTGTTAAAGATGCAATAATAAAAATTTTACTCAAATCAGACTTGCATTTCTTAACATCTAAAGGTTTAAGTTATCAAAGAATCGAGCAAAACACACGAGATGTCAAAAGGCGCCTGCTCACACACATTGGCATGAACGCAGTATCGCCATTTTAGAATAATAATATAAGCGATCAGTCTCCAAAGCAGCTGATCAGCGGTATCAAGCTTAGGAACTAATTTTTGAGTAATGGAGAAACGGAAAGGCAAAAAATGCATTTTTGTACAAGCAGTCAAAACTTTATGAAAATATGATGTAGCCCAATACAGTAATAATAAGCAGCACAAATACGATAACAAGAAAAAACAAAGCATTTCAAATCTTTGTGCCATATATGCTTTCCAGCGTTTGTGTGAAAGGTGGGGCGGGGCGTAGGCCCTCAGCCTGTCACAGAAGTGACGCTGGCTCTCGAGATAATTTCACCTAGTTATTTAAATCATTTGACAGACGAAGGAAGGTTATAATGCAAATGAAAAGGAAAGACAATTCACACTTCTATACAAGAAAATATCCTACAAGAAACAATGGTACTTTGTTCTAAAATAAATTAATTCACAAAAATATTCACAAATCGCAGTCAATGCAGATGCGAATTAAGGAGTTCAAGATGCCCTTTTAGGGAAATTCTAGTTTTGGCGCTGGGTTGCGCAAGAACAAGTAGATACGACGAACAGCAGAAAAATCTTCAGCAAATTCAAATGTTTTCTCAAATAAGTCTTTTGTCATAAATAGTATATTATTCACTGCAAAGATCCAATAATGAATAACAGTACGAGGCACACTGTTGTTCAACGAAGTTCCACTGAAACAAGGAACAAAATATAAGAACAAAGCATTCGAAAACTAGTCTAGTTCAACTCCAAAAAGTCATACTTACCAAAGCTAAATCAAGTCAGCAACATTCATCGGCATTTCTTCGACTGCCGTGTGATAAAATTTTTCAATATCATTAAGAACACGTTTGTCGTCATTTGTGACGAAATTGATTGCAACTCCTTTACGACCGAATCGGCCACCTCGTCCAATCCTGAAGTGACACAAACAGATTGTTATATCGGTTGTATGGATACATCTAGGCATTTACTGTGCAATAGATTAATCCATATTATTAAAGGTTTACATAAATCAAATTGACAAGGCCATGTGTAACTTGTCTCAAGACCACAAGGTGAAATTTGGTACCGGGATTCTATTTATGATATACTCTAGTTCGATTTCGAATTGATAACAGAAAATTATGCAATGGATTTATTTTGTGCATGATTTTGTAAAACGGCTTATCACAACATATTTTGAGGCTTCCAGTTTTAAGCCAACAATCCATCGGAAAGGGTGGTTTCCAAAAAATGTAGCCTATGGTAAAATTGAAGTTTGCTGTAAACTTGACAAAATTAGGCCGGCGGTTAACGATGTAGAACGGTTGGCGAAAATGTCATGCTATCCAGACTGGCAAGAAGTCTGTCTCCAACTGTTTGACCAAATTTCTCGACCCACCCAGATGTGCTTTAAGTAGGGCTGAGATCACCATGGTGACCAATTTGCTCGTAATTTTGATCCTTGTACCACGGACACAGTTTGAGAAACGCTGCTCTAGTCTATAGTCGAATTTTTGATAGAATTTCACAATCATATTAATAATAGGTCTAGGCAGTAGTGATTAAACAAGATCTTATTAATGTACATTAGTCCCAGACATGATTGTTAGAAATGGCTATAGTTTCAGATCTCGGTCAATGATAGATCACTAATGCATACAAACCTGTGAATATAATTTTCACGGTTGGATGGTAAATCGTAGTTTATTACAAGGGAGACTTGTTGTACGTCGATTCCACGAGCCAGCAAGTCTGTTGTGATTAAAACACGAGAACTTCCAGAGCGAAATTCTTTCATGATCACTTCTCTGTTCTTTTGATCCATGTCACCGTGCTGAATAAAGATTAAATAGATTAATTATAAAATACATTTTGAGTTTTGATTCTCAATAACCAGCTTTGGCTTGTTGTTCTTCCCTGGTAAAATTGTGTTTTCATCCTTTTTTTAAATGCTGTATGCTATCATTACTTATCGACCGTGATCGGTAAGTATGTTGATAAGTATCTGTCTGTCTGTTAGACACGTTCGTATGTTACGCGATATCTCACGAAAACAAGGTTGAATCTGCTCCAAATTGAATGCATGTGCATTCATCATATCTCTGACCAGAAGCCTATTGATTTTGGATGAATTATGTCGTATAATTAGCGAGTTATTAATTAATTAGTGACGGGACACGCAGTGTCGTAGTTGAGTCAAAACGAAGGATATACGCCTCCAGATCGATCAGACAGTGGTCTCTGATTGCTATCTCGTTTTACTTTTACAGAATGCGAAAAATAAACAGAGTACAAAGCACATTATTTAATTACAGTTCCTTCTATTTACAAATGATTAAATTTATTTTGTGGTAGAAGGCTATATATTTAATTCAAACCTATAATTCAACGTAAAAAGGATTCAACAAAAGTTCAAAACTCACTAATTTAGACACAGTGAAATCTTCCTCTTCAAGCTTATTGGTCAACCAGTCTACTTTTCTTCTAGTATTCAAGAAGATGACGGCTTGTGTGATCGTGAGCGTAGCATATAAATCGACGAGAGTATCCAACTTCCATTCCTGAATAATTTGTGTTTGATGAGTTTTACTATAGCCAACTATAAAGTTCACAGTACTTGAACAATTTAACGTAAAATAACTAGTAAGCAATCCCAAAGAAAGTAGACTGTTTAATTACAGTATCCGTAAAAAAGGATATTACTACATGAAAACTGCAAATCTAAATTCAACATGAAACAGATTCGTATATTAATTTCCTATCAGAAAATCACAGCAGGTACATCGGAATGATCTCAAAATTCAAGACCTTGTTAGCAGAATGAATGAACATAATGCATAATAGAATTTCCAACATTTGCCAGTGTACTGAGCACAAATGAAGAAAGCCTTGATCCTACCTCTCTTTCAACGAGGACGTAAAATTGCTTGATACCCTCAAGTGTCAGTTCTTCTTTCTTCACGAGAATTCTGATAGGATCTCTCATGAATTTTTTGGTGACTTCCAACACATCTGCTGGCATTGTAGCAGAAAGTAAAACGACTTGAGTGTTGCCTGGCATACACCTAAGAAAAATATAAAATATTCTGTCTTGGTATCTAATGTTAAGAAGCACAAAACTAGTGTTAAATAGATGGATTATCAAAATAAAAAATACAATGATGACCAATTGTTACACACCTGAAAATATTGTAAATCTGTTCCTTGAATCCTCTTGACAACATTTCATCAGCCTCATCAAGAACAAACATTGTCATGTCATCAGTTTCTGAAATGAGTAAAACAAACAAGTTCAAAAACAAGCTTTTCGTAAATATGTGCTGATATTTTAGCACAACCATGCTTTTGAGTTTATACAATCCAACATAAAATATCATACCGAGAACTCCTCTGCTGATCATGTCTAAAACACGTCCAGGAGTTCCCACGACAACTTGTGGAACAATTGTTGTCATCTGCTGGATTGAAGTTTTCATGTTTGTACCTCCAATGCAAGCATGGCAGTTCACTTGCTGATAGTCACCGAGAGACATGACGACTTTTTGAATCTGAAAAATGAACATGAGTGTAAGTCACAGATAAACTAATGCAACTAGCTTCAAGATTATGGATATGTCAGATAAAAGAAAAATCTAAGATACATGCAGATTAATCGGTGCGATACAGATGAGGAAATAGTTTGAATTTAAGTCCTAAAGAAATGCAAATCTGTCGTCAATAAATCTGAAAAATCTCAATCTGATAGTGACATCTTTACTCGAAAACTAGCAAAATCAACATTCATTGATACCTGTTGAGCCAATTCTCGTGTTGGTGCTAGTACCAGAGCCTGTGGCTTCTTTCTGTTCAAATCTATTTTTTGTAGAATAGATATTGCGAATGTTGCAGTTTTACCAGTTCCAGACTGGGCTTGAGCGATGACATCGTGGCCTAAATGAAAAGTTGGTAATTTTATCTATGATAAACATATTATTGCAAAAAAAGGTGCATTTAATGGAAATTAGGTGTAAATTCTGACTGGTAAATCAGTTATCTAGTCTATTTAAATCTTGAAAATGAAATAAAAAATATTCTTTCATAATTTTGCTCATTTATTATGCTGTTAGGACAAAATTAAATCTTTACAAATACATTTTCAAGCTGAAAGCGTCTCTCAAGGTGTTAATTCTACATTTTACAAATTTCTCCAGGTTCCATGCGGACCATTGCTTTTTATCAAAATTTTCAACTTAGTGGAATTTGACCACTATCAATTTGTAATTATTGCTGTAGTCTGGAAGTGATGTACTCTACGTTGAAGCCATTACGTTATGATATTTTATTTAAAAAGTTCAAACCTTTAATACAAGGCTTGATTGCCCTTTGTTGAATGGCAGAAGGTTTCTCAAAACCATAAGCGTAAATTCCACGAAGTAAATCTTCAGTAAGATCCATGTCATCAAAGGACTCAACTATCTCATCCCAGTTGCCCTAAGTAAACGAAACGAATAACGTATTCAATTTTAAATTAGTGAAACTGAATCACTGAGTTCCACCTCTGAATTAGAATTTATATTACAGATTATGCAATGAAAAAAACTTACTTCAATAATTCCCTCTGGCTCCATTCCCTCAGGGCCATCATATGCCTCTTGTTGTTCTTGTGGCTCTCCATTAGCAGTTTGTTGAGGAGGGGGCCTTTCTTCACGTCTGTGAAATAGAAAGGGCCAATTGTATAGATATAAACCATCTAAGTTGTCTAAATGAAATTGGAAATCAGTTACGGGATACATATTTATACAACAATCCAGAGAGACTGGATTCTTAAGACATAATCAATTGCTTATGTGCGAAAATTCATCTCCTTGTTAATCAAGGATTCTGATAAGATATCAAACCTGAGCAGTTGACAGTTTGAGATGCATGGAATATGAATCCGATTCAGTCACATATTTGGTTATAAGTTATAGGTTTTTTTTTTAACTATAGACTCAAAAAATAAAATACAGTGATTTGCAGACCTTTCATCACGATTATCTTCAAAGGAATCCCTGGGGCCACCTTGTTGGCCATATCCACCACCTCTGCGATCAGAATATCCTCCATCCCTGCGATCAGAATATCCCCCCTCTCTTCGATCAGAGTATCCCCCCTCTCTTCGATCAGAATATCCCCCATCTCTTCGATCGGAAAAACCACCTCTTCCTCCATCAGAGTAGCCTCCCCGATCTTGGCCATAACCTCCACGAGTGTCGTATCCACCACCTTTGCTAGAATAATCCCGAGAATCTCCTCCGTAGTCTTTTTGACCACCTTGATACTCCCCACTCCCAGAATCTTTTTGACTAAAAATAAATATTAATTTTTATGTCACATCTAAGCCAATTGCCTCCTATCAGAATGAAGCAATATTATGAATTAGGGGTTTGCAACTTTTAATAGAGGGTTAGATACAAATAACTGGGTGAAACTGCGTGCTGCACTCTTATTTTATTTTATAATCCAACATAGGATTTCTAGTAGAGAGAGAGAATTTTATCGTTTCGTCAAACCAGAAAACACATACAATATATATATGATAGCAAAATGAGAAAAATTAGGTTTCGGTAGATGACAGGGTGGTAACGATACGACCAGCCAATGTCGTAGTCGCAGCTTGCAGGAACAAAATTTTGGTTTAATGAAATGTTGGCTTTATAATATGGCGAACCATCAGCCTCTCAACCGGTTGCAAGTACATGTCAGGTATGGGAACGGTTAACCTAGTATTTATTTGAGACGCATAGAATGTACAGTACGGCACAGTACTCGGATTCTAAGAATAGCCCCCACATTTATAAAAGTAAGGGCAAACCCCTCTTTTACAGGTTGGGCCTTGATATGGGTATAAATCGGCAAACCGACACTGAGCAATAAACTAAAAGGAAGCCCCCATTGGATTACTTAAATAATTCGATTTATCGAAGAAAAAAATTTACTGTAACATTAGTTTTTAGGAAAAAACCCAATTTTGTTCTTATGACGACAGACGTATGTCTTGATCGATTTAAATTGTTATAGAGACGAGCATGGCCAAATCTGCCGCCATGCCAGATGCAGAGACAAATGTGATTGTTTTATTGAACCAAATGTCGGGACATCTTAGAATCTGAGAACAGTGCTCTACAGCCTTTACATTCTCACATTGTTGCCGACTTGTACAGATTCCACAAGCTGACAAGATGGTCGTCGCAAAAACAACCTTTAGAGGCAAGGTTCACAAACTTTCAATCCCGCAGTTTTCGCACATTATTTTTGAAGAACTTCCCATGATGACTGAAAACCAAAATCACAACCCAAACTTTGTTGAGCCACCTAATGTTCGGAAAAAAACTGTGTGGCGAAAGGTCTACCTGTCTACAGGTCTTGGACAAAACTACCGTACCAACTGACCAAGGCAACTGAGAAAATCAAAATTACAACTCTAACAGCTTTGTAATCCGATATACAGGTATAGTAGCAGTTATACCTATAATTAGATACTTCAGCAGCTAGAGTTCAATACTTGAAACTTCATTTCAAAAATCTAGGTTTTACTTAGTTACAGGTAAGAATATCAGAATATCTTACCCCAGTCTGCCAGTGACTGAAACGCCTGACTGCTGTTATTTACATTCAATTTTGTGTTATTTAAAACCACAAATAACTGAACCAAAGTCAAATTACATCTAAATACTGAATTATGTAATCCGAATGCTTTAGTACACAAACGAAAGTCGAAATTTCGAGTAAAAGTAATCATCTGAAGCAGTTTAAACGAACAAATCAAACAATAAATAACACTGAAATTAATTTACTTGAAATGGAAAGAAAAACATGTCAAATTCACAATAAATAAACTATTAATATAGCATAGAAATCGTACTCACCCTTCGTAATTTGACATGTTGAATGAAAGACTACTACCAGCTGGAAGTTCAGTCTCCCACGCTTCGGCGGATGAATATGTTCAATAAATTGAATTATAACTATAACTTTAATGCAAGTTATATCAGCAATATGTATTATTAATTAAACTTAGTATTTATGAATTGATTCTGAACAAAATATTTTAATTATATGACAAAAAATCACCTTTTCAAGAGTCTACTCGTATTGGGATCTATTTACTATTACGTAACACCGATATTGCGAAATATCTCAGGTAGGCATGGTTTCGCTGTGAGTAGCTTCGCGGTACGCCGGCAGACGTCGTTTGGCGGGTTTCTTTGGGTTATCGGGACAGTTTAGTAAAGAGAACTGGCCTCCCGCGGTTTGTTCTTAATCTGTCGCGACGGCGGGAAGTTTCGAGGTGTGAAATTCGCTCCGAAACAATCGAATGATAATAAAATCGCAGCGTTGTCGCTTCTATCAAATCTGCAAGTTCGATTTAAAGATTACTGTCGACCATGAATAAGAATGAACCGGAAATTTGGTGGCGATATATATGTTTAGAAATCTTCTTTGCAAACGTGGCCGCGAGAATAAGAATTCGTTGATTATAAACGGCGTTTATTGCCGACGATTCCTTCAATTTTTAAGTTGACAATGAGGAAACGATTATTGTATTTTAGGTCATAGGTGGAAAATCTCAATGTATTGGGTCGCAAGTCTTGGCCAACTCACAGCCGAATGTGGCTCTTGCTTCGGTTTCATGCGGCTCTTTTCACCTTGATTCGTCGTGCGTTCTTCTTTCACGTCGAATATACATGAGCGCCTTCATTCACTTCACATGTAATCGTCCATTATTATGTCACAATCAAATTTTGCGCAACGACGGCTGTCGTAATTGTATCGAAAACAGAGTACCATTTGAATGAGATATTTGAAGTGCAGATAAAAGTTATAAAACGTCACAGATTACATGGTCGACGACTCATTTAATACTGAGACAGATTGTTTGAAATTCTTTTTAGTCAAGATGAGGCTGCAACTGAGTTGAAGATGATCGGTCTTCATGAGGAAGACCAATTGAAATTGAGTTATGGAAAAGTATGCCAATGGAAAAACGAGCTTCGCTTGGGATATTGTAAATGTTTGAGCCAACATACGCCTGCGAAGATGTGTTTTCAAACCTAAAACCTATCCTAAAACCAAAGCATTGTTCTGTTCTGACTGACACCCATGTAAGAGAAGTGCTTCGTTTGGCTACAACGACATACAAGTCAAGTTTAAAGAGGATTGTTCAATCCAAAGAATACCAGAAGTCCCACTAAGTAACATGCATACCAATGAATGGCTTGTAAATTTCTGTCATAATCATGTTGGTCAGTGACATTTACAATAAACTAGCTTTAGAACAGAGCTGAATAATAGTATATCTGATATTCGTGTGTGTTCTCGTTTATATTGTGACTCTTTCACAATGTGAATATTTAATTACAGGAACAATAATGAATAATTGGACACGTAGTGGACATAACGACCGTTATGTTGTTCTTTGACACAGAATAGGACACCTAGTGGAAATCTTGAAGAACCGATTTTCTCTTTGATTACTGGGGAAACACGGTAAGAAGTGCCGTAAAGTGTACAAAACCGCTATGCGTAAATAAGTCACATGTTCATTCTTTGTGTAGCAAATTTTCGTTCTATGAGAAGATCGTAAAAAGGAAACTTGCACAGATTAGAATTTAAATTCAATTTAACTTTTTATGTTTTCTTGAAGATTCACGTATTCGAGTCGCCACCGATCCTGATAACCATAGAAATTAATCGAAGCTTTCTACATCTTTTCACGACCCACTAAGACTCCATTTGCGACCCACCAGTGGGTCGCGACCCATAGTTTGGGAACCGCTGTTTATAGTGTTGGTTGACATTGGCTAATCAGCAAGGTGCAAAAAGTGACGTAACAATGCTGTACTTGTTTTCGCCGAAACGGTAAGCTGAAAATTGCAAGTAAAAGTGAATTTGAAATGTTTAAAACTGCTTGGGGGTTGGGACAGCAATTTGTTAATGGTTATATATAAATATATAGGTAGTGGGATTCAGCCGGTTCTATAGAACCGTCTCACGAAATTTTATGAGATCAGCGAACCGGTCAGCATTACACGACTTTTTGTAACAGAACCTGAAAAATATGACATTTATGTGATGAAACCGGCTGACAAAAAAATTGAATCCCACAACTGAATATAGCCTACTCAATGGCCATACCTAAGGTACTCAATTGTTGTGCTTGTTTTAGTTTTGGGACTTGCTTATTCATAAAAAATATAGAATAGAAGATAGTTACGGAATACATAAAATGGAAACAACACCCGCCCAGAAGATGCTATAATCGTTCATTGACCAATATCATGAAAGTAGTTTATTGATCATGTCAGGCAGATTTGCCTTGAGGATAACTGTCCGCTATCTTCATGCTGGAATGGTTTGGTCCGTGCGCCCGAAACGAATATTTGGCAAGCTATTTCATTATTCGACATGATGGACTGGTGTCTGAATAGTTTGTCATGGTTTGCCGTATGAGTCGTTGGCCGTATGACATGATCCATATCTTTTTTTATGATTGCCCTCTTGAGCTGTAGGCTATCACAATCTGACTGTTGCTCGTGTGTATTTCTATATGGTAACATTTTCAGCGTAGCGTGATTTCTGCCTGTGACTCCTAAATACCTTACGTTGTTATAAGCTGAATATTTGCGTGAACGTCACCTTATTTGTAATCTTTTTATGCAATGCAGAAGACTAAGAACTGAATGACTTGTGTCGGTAACGTTTTCAAGACACGATCAAAGTTTTCGTATCTCCAATGTTGCAGTTTTTGCTTTGGCAGTTTTCCACTCCAACTTCTACCAAATTTTTTTTAGTTTTTTCGATGCCATTGTTGAATATCATTGTTCATTTCGTATTGTAGGCCGCGAGCCGAGGCCATTTATCTTTCAGTTTCCTAGCGCATAGGTTCTCAAAGTGCTTCGTACGGAGCCCCAGGGCTCCGCGAGAGAAACCCAGGGGCTCCGCGAGCTATTCGATTACTCTTCGAAATACTGACTCAAAATTTTGTAACTGTTGAAAGAAGCAATAACAGCGTTGATAAAATCTGACAACAATACAGCCTCGAAATATGGTAAAGAGGCTGAATTAAAAATGACATTATTTATAAGCAGGAGCGCAGCCAGGATTCTTAAGAGGGAGGTGGTTCAAAATTGGAATCGGAAATTTCCGCGCAACATTCTTCGCCATTAAAAAAACGGATAACGAGATTTCTGTTGCGTAAAATATTCAATCCATGACCGATGCGAGCATTCAACGTGTCTCTTCGTTATAATGTAATTGTGATCATCGTTACTCAAGTTTGATTCGAGATTAGTATTAGTATTACCTAAATGAAAGAATACTATTCTAAAATAACATAAAATATGTAATAAACTGCCAACAATAAATAAAGTGGAGTCGTATTTTCGCGATCTTGGGATTTGTCAAACTTGGTTGTTCTTTCGCACCCTTTCGGTAGTTTCAGAATGAAAAAAGGTGCATCGTGGATCGCGTGCACAATTGATTGCGTGCGGCTTCGTCGGTAGTTTCAGACTGGGAAAAAAGGGTACATCGCGCGCACAATTGACTGTGTTTCGATTTCGCAGTTACTACGACGAAAACCTAACATAACACCAAATTTTGTGATTTACAATGTCTATAAAAGCGTTTTCAATCTGAGGTGAGTCTGCTGAAGCCAAACGTGTGATCTTCCATTTTAAGTTTCAGTTTTAATATTTTAGAATGCCGTTTTTCAATCAAGAAATTTGAGTTGCGGATTTATCTCTTTATTAATTATAATTTTTAACATTTCGTCGCAGATGACTATTATATGGTAACATGTTTTTCACATTGAACTCATAATTTCCCACGAGAACAAAAAAGGAATTAACTTCGTCATTGTGTAACAATACATGTATATGCCGAGGGAAATATTTGATTTAGGGAGAATAAACACCGGCGTAAAGATGTTCAAAACACGCCATGCTGACGAAAAAAATCGGCGATTGTAACAAAATAAAATCGCGCACGTTATTAGCGGCCTGTTAAGTCTCCCAAAAATGTCAAAAGAGAAAAGATTCGACCCCTAATTTATTAATATGTTCGTCAAGTGTCAAATTTACAGCTTTAGTATAAAATTCAGATTCATTTATGGCTTGTGTTAATCCTATTAAAAAAGGTTCAGCATTTTAAATAAGTAAAGTACTTTTAACTTGCCCAGGAATATTAATCTGAAAGTAACAATTTTAACATTTATCTTGGGGCTCCGCGAATAATATTCAACTTTTCAAGGGCTCCGCAACACCAAAAGTTTGAGAACCCCTGTCCTAGCGCACATAAGGTAACTACCTGAAAATGATTTTAAAATGTTCCTTAGAAATTTAGTAACAAATATTGCCTTGTTCCCACCTCCAAAAGTTGCACGTTTTACAGAAAAGACGCTTTTACTACAATAAATATGTGTCCTATTTTCTCTGGTTTTCCGGTATCATGGGCCAATGAACGCAGACTTCTGCATGACGTAACAATAAAATTAGTCAGCTGTAGGTGGATCCCCAGTGGTCGGATGAATATCAGATGTACTACTACTGCTATTAGTTTTTTTTTTTCAGTTATTATTAGTTCAGTTATTCTAAGGAGGTGTTGAAAAGTATAAGTAAGATATTAAACACATGTATATCCGTACCATAAATAGCAATTTTAGTTGAGCACTAGCTCATAAGACGTTGTTAAATAGGTACGGTGCGGTAACTCCAAGGAAGGCTAGACCTAGAATAATATGTCACAAACAACGATATTTTCTGGCTTGCATGAAATGTTTTTGATTAATTTAATGACTCTTCTTGACTATTCAGCAGACTTATACTACTATATAGTCTAGGCCACAGCATATTTGGAAATAGAAATTAATGGCTGTTTCTGTAATGCACGGTTGTGTGAAAGAGAAGAAAATAATCAACTTTACTAATGTAGGTTGGTCTAAATCTAAATTCATAGAGTCGACAAGAACCTGGAAAGCAATGATAAGTTATGCCGGAGTGGAAAGAAAGTAGCATTGGAAACGATTGAGAGGTGAAAAATCAAGTTGT